CTAATACTAATACTTATACTAATACTAATACTAATACTAGTACTAAACTAATACTAATACTGATACTAATACTAATACTACTTCTAATACTAATACTAATACTAAGACTAAGACTAATACTAATACTAATACTAGTACGAATTACTAATACTCCTCCTCATCTGACCCCCCTCGCACGCCACGTCGCCTCCGTGGCATCGTGGAAAGCGAAGGACAGAGCCGGACCGCGGGGCACTGGCCAGGCCTTCTGTTTGATTAGAGGAGCCACTGTTAAGAAACTCTGGGAAGAGGCCCTGAACCTCAATTGTGTTTTAAAAATCACGTCATAGAGCTTGGATTGCAGCAGATTTCAAGGTCTAGGGCCGAGGGCGCAAGTCCAGCTTGGTTGATGCAAGCGGAAACGCAGTACACATGCAAGAGCAATGTCGGCTGTGGTTTCAAGGAAGCAGTACGTACAAAACGAACAGGAGTCACTGTGACAGCGGCATTCCTGAGCGACCATGGTATAGCAATATTGGGTTAAGCAGCACTACAGCTAAAGAGGATCTTCTTTCACGCTTGGCGCCTGTTATGTCCGGGTTCCCTAATTTTCAATTCTGACGCTCCCATGGTATAGTCTAGGGCCAGAGTGACTTGACCAGGGTGTCGTGACATATCAGACTACTTTTATAAGGAATGTAAAGGGATACTATGGCTAATTTGTCAGGACCCCACATTGCTCCAAGCATGGCTGCGCCTGCTTCAACCCCGGCATGATGGGTACCCGGGTCTGGTTTGGCCACTGGACATCCTGACAAAATAGTTGTGGATGCCTTCCGGGTGTTGGCGGCTTTGGGTTTAGGGTCAGTCTAGGGTCTAGAAAGGGGTCTCGGGATTGGGGTTGGCTTCTGGGCTTCTTTGGTGCATCTTGGGGCTCTTCGGTGCTGTTGTGCTTAGGCCTTTTAAGGGCTTCGGGTGCTGAGGCGTGTCGGGCTTGGGTTTTTTCGGGGTCAGTGGTGGTTCCTTCGGTGAAACTGTACGTCGCGCAGCCCCTACAATAGGCTTCGAGGCCCCGTTCTGAACCGGTGGCTTTGCGAAGGTCAGGCCGAGCGCTCAACGCCGTAAGCCTCCAGCCCGTGTGCATTTGAGATACCCTCTCTTGATCCTTGTATGGGTCCAGAGCTTCAGGCTTGTGCACGTTACGTTTGAGGACATGACCAAAGCCGGCAGAACACGGGGGCTTGGGTTTTAATCTGGTGTGGCTTGAAAAATACTCCAAGCACTTGGGTCTGAAGGCGGCAAAACCCCTGGTCAATCCCTGATCCATAACCTTGGGCTCCAGGTCCAGCAGTTGAAACAAAACCGCTTCGGATGAAGTGGCTCTGACAAGTAGAAGCCCACGCACCAAGGAGCAGGGCCAAACCACCCTTGAAGCTTCAGCAAGAAATGCGAGAACAAAGACTGCAAGGCCCGAAACACTGATATTTGCCAAAGAAAATCAGCATTCAACATCTCTCAGATCGGGGCCTCGAAGCCACTGATCTCCACCTTGCAAGGGGTTGTTGCTGGGCCGCGTGACTGTAGTTCGCACTTCTGCTTCTTTCGGGTTTCCGTGCTGTTATACAACAGTTGTATCCAACCGCAAGTTGTGAACATCGGTGCAGACAACACTGGCGGGCGGGGCCGTGCATTGCAGCCCCCTCGTGACTTCTCAAGGCGGCCTAGCTCGGGTGTTCACTCAGAGCAGCACCCAGCCTCATCACTGGCTGACATGGAAGGTCCGTGATCCTCCTCCTGCCAGAACATGGCTAACCCCCCTTCCAACCGCAAGCGGCTGGGATTGACGGACGTCCAGGCTCGGATTGCGGCCTGCCTTCACGCGATCTCTAAACAAGGTCCGAAGGTCATGCCGAAGACACCGGCTGTTTCACAGATTCCACTGCTAGCAAAGCCACCATGATCGCCAGTCGGATGACCAACTAGGCCGCTTCATACCAGACCCGGACCGTGCAAAAAGAGCTTAAGACAGGGGCCTTCATGATTGGAATGGGGTTTTGGGGTTAGAATACGCTGCAAAATAAGAACAAGGCCGTCTGAATGTGTAATCTCTCCGGCCAGACTGCAACGCATGAACCATGGGCAGATCAGTAAATGTCATGTATACCCTTAAAGGAGTTCTCAGCTCCTCCTGAACGTCAAAGACGGTGAAGTACAGTCGATCGAAGGAGACGGGTGCATCCTGTGCGGCTGTTGTGGCTGTCTTGACAGCTTAGCCTAGCACTCTGTGGTACAGGAGCATTTATGTATCCAATGTGGGTGTGGCAACAGTCTCTGGAACTCAGACTTTCGTTCCTTTGAAACTACCTGCCGAGCAATCCGTCAAACCCAGTGCCTCCCTTCCAGAGAACATCTCGTGAAAAGTTTACTGCTGGTGGCACCCCCTCGTCACAAACCTGACCCCGACCCTTGCAAGCCCCCAAAGCGACAAAAGCTTCAACTCCTGCTTTCGCAAGAATCCCCGATTTACCCACACCCAACAATCACCCACTTCCCAAACCAAACCCAAAAGAAAACAAAGTCCAAAACCCCAGAACCCAAAGGACTGGTGCTTAGGATATATCCGACAGCCCCAGTTCCTTCAAAGCAATCGGCCTGAGAGTCAACCAGGCGAATCCTCAGCGACGCGGTGGTTCCAAGTGCCACCTGCCATGGTCCAGTAGGAGTGGCCGTAGGAGAGAGCTGCTCACAATTAGAATAGGGTGTGGGCGCATATTACACTGTAGATATGCAGGGCCTACGAGAAGGAGGTTGCTACTAAGTAGGACCTTGGTTTCAGCATGCACTACATTGCAAACACTCGAAGCTTGTTGCAAATGTGGCACAGTCTGGAGGTGCTTTGCTATTTCACATATCTCGCACCTGCTGGTAGGATGTCATGCTGAGTCTTCATACATGTACATCTACGCAACAGATCCACACACACACACACATACGTAGGCCTACGCATACACATGCACATGCGCCTATGCCAAACCTGGGAGCGCCATCCTAAGACGCGGATGCAGCTCAGAGCTCGGTCACGAAACCCAGGAGAAAGCCGGGAGCCGGACATTCACCGCAGCTGCGTCGTGAACGCTGCCCACAAGGCCGTTGAGCCTTGCACGTCCTGCCAAGCAGTCTCGGGGAGGGTTGGCCTTCGGATTTGGGCCGACAACGTGCAAACCTACATGCACGAGCCAATCCACGGCATCCGGACAGCATTCCCATCCTTTGCAATAGAGTGCCCATTCCATTGCAACCCAAATGCAGCTGATTTCAGAGCAGCCCATTTCCCTCCTGGATGGTACGATCCATGATCTACTTCGATCACCTTCGTCGATCAACGTCGGCACATGTGGTGCTTTATGGCCCTGCCCTGGACATCGCTCTCGGTGGAACAGCGAAAGAGTACATGCCAAACAGCACACTCACACATAAACCCATCCAGAAAATGAACGATATACATGTGCATACATACATATACATGTATATGTATATATATATATATATACATATGTCTTTCTGCATATAAATGTATACATATATTTGTATATGCGTTTCTTTATAAATATATATATATATATATACATATGTGTGTGTATGTATATCTGTATGTGTGTGTATGTGCATGTGTACGTGTCTCTGTCTGTGTCTGTGTCTGTGTCTGTGTCTATGGATGTATGTATGTATGCATGTATGTATGCATGTATGTATGTGTATATATATATATATACATGTGCGTGTATGTGTACACACACATATATATATATATATATGTAGCTACATAATATATTATATGAGTAAGTGAACAAACAAACAGATATATATATATATATATATGGTACCCCCCCCCCTCATGTATCTACCGTTTGTC